CAGAAGGCAACACCCACCGCTCAGGCTCCAATGGACTGTTTTGGATTGCTAGCTATTGGGGGGGGGGACGTGCAGATCCGTCCTCACAGAGGAGGGAGAGCTTGTACCTGAATAAAACCTGGTCTTAAAGGTGCCACTGGACTGTTTTGGACCGAGGGGCCGGGGGGGGGGGGCTCTGCAGCTTACCTGGCTGCTTCTTGCTCTGACTGAGGGCTGCTGGGAGCAGGGGGTGGGGCTTCTTGCATGTGCCCGTCCCCTGGGCTCTTTAGTGTCAGAACTCCGCTCCTGTGCGCTCCCGCAAAAAATGACCCCTGGATATAATGACTGGAAAATGGGGAAGGAAGACTGGAGGAAGGGACAACATGATCCTGCTGTCCTATATCTTAACTGTAATTCCAAAGTCTCCAGAACTGGGGTTTAGGTTTGACAGAAGAGACTGGACAGGAGGCTGGAATTCCAGTCTAGCCAAACAGAAAAGGATTATCGCTCCTGGAAAGAGGAGGATAATTCTTACCCAGTTGTTCAGGGGGTTCAACTCAGAAGGGACCCCTGGTTTGTGTGAAAAGGGAAATGGTCTTAGATTCCTCAAGAGTATAAAAGGGGAAGTTATAATTTAAGTGCAGGAAGACCGTACTAACTTCTGGGAAACTAAAATAGTTTTATGAACTTTATTAAAACACATTGTTGCTGAAAGAAATCTCCAAGACAAACAAACCTCTCACAATCAAGAACTAAGTCTCTAAGAATATACGCTTCAACTATAATCTGTTGCCTGTTCAAAATATTATAATTTGTATAAACAACCACATTCACCGTAACTTCTCATCCCCTGCCCTATTCCTAACTCAACTGTGCCTGTTCAACAAAATCAACCTTTCTGTTTGAACTTTTCTTCAGGAAGTGCCATTTTGAAAAGGGATTTATAAGAGGGCTCCTGCTGAGTTACAAATAAATCTCTGGCCAGGGCAAAAGCCAAATAATTTCTCTATCACAGGGTGGGACACACAGAAAGTTATAATTCTATAATTCAAAGACGCTACTAAGAAACTGCTCAATCAGAGTGGGGAACAGTGTTTTGGCGGGAAAATCTTCCTCACAAAGAAGAAGAAGCAGGAGTCTGTCATAGTAGGCTTCTAAGCTATTTAGTAGATTACCCCCTGAGTATAAATGTAGTTTATAAATGAGTATAAATGCACTGGAGCTGCAGTGGCTCAAGTGGTTAAGATGCTGAACTTCAGGCTGTGGAAGGTTGGTAGTTCAGCAGTTCGAGACCCGAGTGCCACATGACGGAGTGAGCTCCCGTCTCTAGTTCCAGCTCCTGCCAACCTAGCAGTTCAAAAGCAAGAAATTGCAAGTAGATTAATAGGTACCACTTCGGTGGGAAGGTAACAGCTTTCCGTGCGCCTCGGTGTCTAGTCATGCCGGCCACATGACCACGGAAACGTCTTCGAACAGCGCTGGCTCTTCGGCTTTGAAACGGAGATGAGCACTGCAGCCCTAGAGTCGGATTCGACTGGCTTTTGAGCAAGGGAAACCTTTACCTTTATAAATGTAGTAGGATGTATCATTTCTTCTGCATATTTAAAAATGTAACAGCACAGAGAACAAATAATTCTGACCATTGCCCCTTCCCCCAGTTTAGGAAAGATTAAGTCCAACTTTGAAACATACACTTATGTCCTAAAGATGTATAGTTTATATGTTTGTATACATAATTAAAACATATGGTCATGGGTGGTGCTCTGTTTGCGCTTCTGTAAAACCCCTGGAATGTGACATTTTTACAGATAGGGAGGGACTATGGCAGGAGTACAGCAAGAGTCCTTGAGAAATGGTATTTCTCCTCCAGTACATTTGGCGTTTCAGCTTAGACATTTTTACAGATAGGGAGGGACTATGGCAGGAGTACAGCAAGAGTCCTTGAGAAATGGTATTTCTCCTCCAGCACATTTGGCGTTTCAGCTTAGAGTGATCTGGGCATACCTCCCTTTCCCGTTGAGCCTGGAGCAACCTTGCATTTTACAGGATCCACGTCTATTGGATTCCAAGGCTTTCGAAATTTGGTAAATCATCAGATCCTAGTTTTCTTTAATGTGGAAGCCAGAATAAATTCTGACCTTTCTGGAGTCAAGCAAAAAAAAGGTTAATTTATAGTTCATTCCTTATTTAGCACAGCAATTGACTGTGGAACAATAGTGTTTGTTTATTTTAAAGGTAAATCAGCAATAGATACTCATTTACTTTCCCGAGATAATGTTTGGCTTATATTCATTTTGGTGTAACTTAAGGTCTTAAAATTGTAATTTTTAACCCACCAGATCTCTAAAAATGTAACACAGCCTGTTTTATTAGCTTGGCTTAAAGCAAATAGAAGCTTTTAAGGGGATGAAATAATTAAATTACCATTTAACAAGATCAGATATTTGGCTCCTCTTTTATCCAATTAAATAGCAGATCAGTGATGGGGAGAGTCTCTTTTGCTGGTACAAAGAGAAGAGGAACAGCCGAAGCGCGAAGCAGTTGCTGGAAAATTGCTCTGAGTCCATTCAGAGACTTTCCTACTCCAGTGTGGGCTAAGCCTTTGATTTGACAGATGCTTTTAGCCCAACTTTTCAGCAAGCCCCTATCTCTTATAATCACTGCTAGATCTTATTACTGTAGTTGCGGCAGATCACAGTATGTTTCAGCAGTATGTTGTGTCATAGTTGTAATGCATGTATCAGTAATAAGCAGGACTTGAAGGAAAATATTAAATGGCTGCGGTCACACGGAACATTAGCCACGCAAGAGAGACGGAAGAGAGGCGGATTTTCCGGGCGCTATCTCACCGGCACTTCTGGAAAGCGTAGCGCTTCCGTGGCACAACCGAGGCTTCCCGCCGAAAACGCGCAGCAAAAAACTAGTACCTCGGAGGTACTAGTTTCCGGAAACCGCGGGGCAAGGGCGGGCGTCTGATCGCGTTTCCGGTGGCATCCGGCACCCGCCCATGTCCCCTTGCGAAAAAGGTGTTTTTTTTCTCCCAAGTCTCCGTGGACGCGCACACGCACCCAACGGAGCATGCGCATTTGTCGTGTACACAAAAAAAGAAAACCAGTTTGCTGCACCGCACGCTTCTTCGTTGCGCGCAGGCGTGTCCTGTGATCGGCATCTCTCCCTACTCACAGAACCTCCACGGTACCTCCACAGGACCTCCACAGGAGGTCTGATCGCTTAACCGCGCGTTAGTTTGCCCCGGGGCAAACAGCCACGCTTCCCCCCTGCAGTTTCCTGCCCGTGTGATGCCAGCTAAAGGAGCTTAGGTAGCAGATACTGTGAAAAGCCTTCTTTGCTGGAGACCTTGGAGAATTGACCTTGCCAATCAGAGTAGGCCAGTCAATGAACTACTGATTTGGTATAACATGCACAAATGTGATATAATTGTTGTTGGGCTAACAACACTCAGTCAGGAAATTCATTCGTTGACCTTGTGCCAGTCTATACGCTCAGAGTAATGTTCTTTACCAAGTTGTGAGGATAAGAGGGGAGGGGAAGAACTGTGGATGTGATCCTGAGTTCGTTTGAGAAAGGGCGGGATAAAAACGTTAATAAATAGAATAGGTAGCTGTTAATGAGAAGATAAACCATTTTATTTAAATAAATATTTATGAACAATTTGACAACGACAATTGATAAAGATGGGAGGGTGTATCTTATTGTTATTTAATTATGCAAGAAGTTCAGGGCAACTGGACATCCTATCTGTCGTTAAAGGAAATGTATATGTTATAATAATTTTAAAAATGCAAAAAAAACCCCAATTTATTTATTCTATTTGAGTATGCTTTTTATCTTTCTTCCAAGGGCTTTAAGGGCCAGTTCATACATGAACCTTCCACATTTATTGCACCTAGAGATTTGAATTTTCTAGAAATTTTGAAACTGTGAAGAAACCCAGCTTCCCCTTCCTCCTGTTTAATGCCTAATGGGAAATGGAAAGATTTGCAGAGAAAATATTTCATAGGAATTTTTTCAGTGCTCCTTCATATTTTTTTTAAACAAATCTGAAGAAGAATTTGGGTATCTGTGCGGGGAAATATGATTTGTGCCCATGATATTACCAAAAGCATATTTGTGAGCTGCACTGTGGCTGTATGTGAGAGTCTGGAGCTACGTGCAGTGTATAAATTTTAAAATTAAATATCTGTGGAGAACCAAAATCTGATACTGTGTTCTCATAAACATATCCATAGGAGCCATTCAGGTGCATTAGTTGAATAAGAGTTTAAACATCTGAATTGGTTATTTATAGGTGTCCTGGTATGCCCATGCCTGGACTCCCCCCAGCAGACACCACCCCCTCCAATCCCCCAGCACCTCGGCTTGCTGCACCCCCAACCCTCCCAAGATACCAACTCGCTGTTCCCCCATTGCTCCAAGCCCCCAACTCACTTGCTTCAGTGTGACAGAAGCAGCAGGAACAGAAGGAAGCAGCAGCAATGAGCTTGCCTCTCTCCACCCCGCTAAGTTGGATGGCGGAGGAAGTCCCTGTGTTGGGTCTGTCCATGTGAGACCCCAACCCTGCGGAGGCAGAGCATCAGATGGAGTCCAAGGGCAGGCATGTCTCCCCGCCCAGACGGGCTGACAGAGCACGTGGAGAGCCGCGGACTGCTCGGGGGAGCGATGGGCCTGCCATGGGCTGTACTGCCAAGCCAGCCCCGCCCTGCTGCAGAGCGGGGCAGTCTGGCTTAATGGCCGCACTGGCTGCACATGGAAACAGTGAGCTGGACCCAACCCAACCCAACCCAACCCAACCCAACCCAACCCAAAGCAGGCTGTTGGGCCTTAAGTCTGAGGGGGGCACTAGCAAGCTGGAGCGGGAGAGGGGTAAAGTAACCTCCCCCCCACCATTCTGAGACCTCTGGCAGCCTCCAAGAGAGGGAGAAGGGGGTCCCCGGGTCCGGAGGCAGGGCGTGACAATAGTATTATTCTATAAACTTACTGTGCTTTTGTTTTGTTTGCAGCCACCTTGTATACATCCTGCATTTTGTTGGGAGTCTTCTTGAACAGCAGTGTACCTATATTCTTTGAACTTTTTGTGGAAACCGTCTACCCTGTTCCAGAAGGAATCACCTGTGGTGTAGTCACTTTTCTAAGCAATATCTTCATGGGGGTCCTTTTGTTTTTTCTTACTTTTTACCATGAAGGTAAGGAGACTTTCTCTGCTTGCTGACTGTAGATTTGCCAGAGCTGTGTGTTTAATCTGAGGTCTTAGTGTCCGCTTCATTAAGAAGAACCGCATGCAGATCTTGCATTAATGCTAATGATGTGTATAAATCCCCACAGCATTTGTAGTGAAGAATAGCCCTCCTAATTGTTTGTCTTTATATGTGTGTCAGTCAAAGAACAAAATCCTCACATAGAAGGATTTAAAGCCAGTGCAGCAGGATGTCTTTGAGATAAACACTGTGGCAGGATTTTTACAAAGAACAGCATAGTATTGTGACCATTAATAACGCTTGTAGCTAGGCAGGCTAAAACAATGATAAAACTAATCCAATCTCATGCTTCAGGGTCTAATCCAATTGCCTGCTGGGGGTCAGTAAAGGTGTGAGGATTTCCCCCCCTCCTTTCCAATCATGTCTTTGAGTTATTTTTTATGTTCTTGCCATACTCATGAGCACAGAACAGTAAGATAGTAGGTATTTCACTCTGACCCTTTTAAGCATTCTTATTTATTTATATTTATTTATGTTTGGATTTATATCCCGCCGTACCCCGAAGTAGGGCTGCCAAGTCTCGTTGAATCGCGGCGGGGGATCGTCATTCTTTACAGGAGCTCTGCCGCGGGGGACGGCAACAGGCGTTGCACCGCCGTCGCCAGGATGTGACGCTACGCGTCGCTCTGGCAACGGGGCTGTTTGGAGTCCCATTGCCAGAGCAACACGTAACGTCACATCCTGGCGACGGCGGTGCAACGCCTGTTGCCGTCCCCCGCGGCAGAGCTCCTGTAAAGAATGACGATCCCCCGCCGCGATTCAACGAGACTTGGCAGCCCTACCCCGAAGGCTTAACCCGTGTAGCATGATGGGTAGATTCAGAGTTGCTTTGGTAATTTGGAGAATGAAGCCAGACGTTGGTAGCTGTAAGATTTGTTTTAGATGCAAACAAATTTAGAGTAAAATGCGAGGCAAAGTCTAGTTTTATTAGGAAAGAAATGAGCATACTTTGACTGTGAGCTTGGGGGTGTACTCAGGTTCAGTTAACGATCATGTTTTTACATCTAAAGTACAAACTACAATTTGCCATATTCTTTCCAAACTAGGTTTCTAAGCCATGGCTTCGTTCTGGTTTGGAGGAAAGAGAACAAATCATAGTTTATGGTTTGGACATAATGATAAAGTGTTTTGTCATTAATTCTGAAAACTTTTGGTATTGAGCTGTGTGCAGGGGTTCTCGTGATCTTCCTCCTACCCAAGATTTTCCCTGGAATGTTTCCTTAGTGGCCAGTCCAGGCCAGAGAGAGAGTAAAGTCTGGTATACTAGAGCTATTGGAAACCATGAAGTGGCATAGTTCATGTAACATTTAGATCATTTCAACATATTATTAAAAGAACATTATTTTCACTTCAGTACATTCACAGGATTTAAGATCCCTGTATCCAGCACCTGACAGTAGCATGACTGCCACTTTTGACGTTTTGAGGTAGTTTTCAAAGGCAGCCCCACCAAAGTTCATTACAGTAATCTGTCCTAGGTATGATCAAAATCTGTGTCACTGGGCAAATCATGCTTTTCTAGGAATGGCTATAATTGGTGCACCCAGTGAAGCTGATAAAAGAAATGTGGACTACAGAGAACGTTCAAGTTTCTAGTTGCGGACCCTAAACTATGGACTTAAGAGGGGAGTTCACCCCCCCCCCCCCCGGGACAGGCTGACTCCTCAGTCCTCAAGCAGTGTTGTTATTGACCAACAGCGCCTCACTTTTGTCTGAACTGAGCTTCAGGTTTATGAGCTCTCATCTGTCGCATTATCTTCTACAGCCATTTGCTCAAGACTTCCACAGGCCATCCTGCTCAGCTGTTAGGGAGCAGTAGAGTTGAGTGTTATCCACATATTGATAGCCTGTCAGTTCCAATCACTAAAAAATCCCTCCAAGCAAGTTACATGTAATGTTCAGTAGCACAGGTGCCATGGTGGAAGCCCACAGCATACGTTCTAGGGGGTGAACATCACCGCCTCCCTTCTGGTACCGTCTAGCCAGGTAAGAACAGAACTACTGAAACACAGTGCCAACCCCCCACACACTCCACTTCCATCACGGCAGTCCTCCATGGCCAGTGATATAGAAAGCTGCCAAGGGGAGCAGGGGAGTCAGTGGGGGTGCCCTCCCCATCGTGCTCCCAGCAAAGAATTTTGATCAGGGGGACTCAAGCAAGTTTCTGCCCCAAACGTAGGTCTGAATTCAAATGTAAATGGATCTAGATAAATCATCACCTCCCAAGATCCCTGAAGCTGCATAGCCTACATCTGCTTAAGCATTTTGTCCAACAGTGGAATGGTGGCCACTGAGTGATAATTATTTAGGTCATTCAAGTCCAAGGATGCCTTCTCCTGGAGAGGTCTCATGGATTCACCTGTCAGATTGTACCAACTGGAAGTCATCAACAGAACTAGGACCAGACTGCACTCATAACAACCAACTGTGGCATCCAAGTTATGGCTGATCCTAGTTATTTTAACGGGAAAATACATCACCAACATACATCACTCACTGGAGAAGACCCTGATGTTGGGAAAGATTGAAGGTCAAAGAAGACGGGGACGGCAAAGGATGAGATGCTTAGACAGTGTCATAGATGTAACGAACATGAAATTGAGCAAACTCCAGAGGACGACGGAAGACAGGAAGGCCTGGCGGGATCTGGTCCATGGGGTCGCGAAGAGTCGGACTCGACTGTGTGACTGAACAACACATCACCAAAGAGTTACAGTGAGCATTTTCTGGGTTTGCATCCACCTAAAATAAGGGTAGGATGAAAATTAGGATTAAAACCCCACCAGAATTTGGAATACCATCTCTGAGGGGACGCAGTAGTAGCAGAGAAGTAAGCCCATTTCATTGTCATCCCTTCCACAGGGGCATTATATTGGCCTCTCAGCTATATTAGGCTGCATTCCAGTTTTGAATGTTTCTCCGTTTGAGGTCTGGTTGTATACCCACATATAAAATGAGTCCATTTATTTATTGACATCAGGCTCCATTGCAGTACTTTTACTCAGGGGTCATTTCGTAGAAAAAGAGGTGCAGGGGCTCATTAGCATAACTCAGTAGCATAATGTATTTGCATATGCCACACCCCCTGACATCACCGGAAGTGTGTCAGAAGGCAACACCCACCGCTCAGGTTCCACTGGACTGTTTTGGATTCCTAGCTACTGGGGGGGGGGGGGACAAACAGGCTGCCCTCGAAGAGGAGGGAGAGCTTGTACCTAAATAAAACGTGGTCTTAAAGGTGCCACTGGACTCTTTTGGATTGCTAGCTGGGGTGGGGGGGGTTGCACAGATCTGCCCTCACATAGATCTGTGCAGAGAGAGAGGGAGAGATGGAAAGAAAGAAGGAGAGAAGTTTGGATTGCTAGCTATGGGGGGGGGGGGACACAGATCTGCCCTCACAGAGGAGGGAGAGCTTGTACCTGAAGGCGGGCCGGGGGGGCTCTGCAACTTACCTGGCTGCTTCTTGCTTCTCGTGGCCCAACTGAGGGCTGCTGGGAGCAAGGGGTGGGGCTTGTTGCATGTGCCCGCCCCCTGGGCTCCTTACTGCTGGAGCTCCGCTCCTGTGCACTCCCACAGGAAATGAGCCCTGCTTTTACTGCTTCTTTGGATTAAGATGGAGAGAAAGAAAGAGAACTGTGTGTGTCATCTGATATTGGTGGTGCTGTTCCAAATCTTCAGATGATCTCCCAGTTTTTTGAAAAGCATGGCTTAAAAAAATGATTGTACCATATCACTCCTTTTACTGTAATTATTTCATAATAAAATGAACCCATTAGAATATAATTTAGGAAGCAGACCTCAAAACGAATAGGCATCTATATAGACCTATCTTTGTAAGGAAGGGGGGGGGGGAAATGCCACAGCGTTTTGAAAAAGCTTTCACTTGTGCCTTGATGCCAACTGACTCCACTCTACCAGCCACCTGCAAGCCCCACCCTCTTTCCTGTGTGGTGGATTAGAGCTGTTACTGCCCCCTTCCTGATACTGTTCCTATAATAGCAGTATAAAGGTGGATGCCACGTGCATTCTAACTATGGGATCTGTGAGTGCAGTCAAGCAAAAACAAGGTGTAAATCTTTCCTTTGTAGCTCCAGTGCTACAAAAGCTGTTAGCTTTGCCAAATCATACTCCTCGTCACAGGAGTCAAAATTGACATGACGTTTCACTAGACAGTCTTCTGCCATGGTAGTGATTCTTCAGTTTGTTTTGAGGCTCCTCAATAATGTGTTGCCTGTGAGACCTTATGTTTACAAATGAGGTGACAAGACCCATGCAAAACAAATTGAAAAACGAGTGAGTGAGAGGCTATCGTGTACTGCGACAGGTTTTCTTCAGACCCTGGGAATTGCTTTTTTTTCTTTCATAGCTGCAGAAATTGCTTTGAAATAAAGTTATCCCACTTGCACTTCCTTTGGAATAAACCTCACTTAATTCTTGGGATTTATTTCTGTTAAGCATTCATAGTTGAGTTGAACATGTATGAGTTATGAATAGGGGTGTGTATTCAGTAAAGCCAAACTGGGGAAAAACCCGGAGCATTTTTCAGGTATTCAGCAAGCTGAATCACAATCTCTGATCTGATTCGGCTGCTGAATACAGAATGCCTAATAAAAACTAAAACTATTTGGCTTTTATTCGGCATTGCTGAAGATACAGGCTTCGGGGGGGTTAAACTTTAAAGGGCTGCACTTGCCTTCTCTTTCCTACCATTTCTCTCTTTCCTGCCATTTGGTCTGCTTTCCAAAAGGGAGGGGGAAGAGGGACCTTACATATAGTCAACCATTACAATGCATTTGCAATTGACATTGCAACTTGCAAGGCTGTTGCTGCTGGCTTCAGACTTGAAGCCAAACTACTAGCTTGCTTTCCCAGGGACAGGAGGGGGGAGGAGCACTGGTCAGTAGGATTACAGGTAAGGGTGGGCACAG